TTGTTGGTTTGATTGAAGTAAAATGAGTGACGAACAGCCAAAGGACGGACGCTAGCCGCTGAAGGATGCCTCCAAACACGCTATTCTGAGCTCACGTTGTTTACGGTGGCCTGCGTACCACAAAACTGCAGCAGCGCTGCTCTGTTTGGACGCCCGACGCCCGGCATGTCAACTAGCGGTAATTAGTGAAGCCTTGAAGACTTACCTGCTGCGTTGTAGCGAATCATAAAATGCGAACGCCTCTTTTTTGGCTGTCGAGTGATGAACTGCAAACGAGAAGTTGTGTCGTGGATGAATGTAGAACGGTTTACATGTCGTGCTCTGCCCAGATGCCGGAGAGTGAGTTTACCTGATCATTGATGAGTGAGTTAACCTAATTATTGATGGGGGCATTTACCTCATCATTGATGAGTGAGTTAACCTAATTATTGATGGGGGCATTTACCTCATCATTGATGAGTGAGTTAACCTAATTATTGATGCGTGCATTTACCTTATCTCTTATACACATCTAGATGTGTATAAGAGACAGACTTTGTAGGTCTACACATGGGCGTGCGACATGCCAGCGGTAAGCCATGGACGACTCACATCCTGTCTCTTATACACATCTAGATGTGTATAAGAGACAGCAACGGCACCACTGCTGCACTCAACGGCACCACTGCTGCGCTCAACGGCACCACTGCTGCACTCAACGGCACCACTGCTGCGCTCAATGGCACCACTGCTGCACTCTACGGCACCACTGCTGCACCCAGCGGCACCACTGCTGCACTCAACGGCACCACTGCTGCGCTCAACGGCACCACTGCTGCGCTCGACGGCACCACTGCTGCACTCAACGGCACCACTGCTGCGCTCAACGGCACGACTGAATCTTTTGTACCGCTACACTTTTGTATCAGTGTAGGGCAGCACTGCACCTTATGCATCGCTTTCTTCCTCCACTGCATCACTGGATGACGCCACTGCACGCCAGATGTAGCGTTAGCATTGTTTTATTTATCCTATGCATCACTGTACCGTACCCCTGCTTCTTGTGCATCGCTTCAGTCTTCCACTGCATCACTGCATGCATCACTGAATGCAGCACTGAACCACTGCACCGCTGCTGTTTTGAAGTGCCAGTGGCGACAGCGGCAGTGGCGGCGCGAGGGCGCTTGTCATAGACTGATGGATGGGTAATGAAGGAGAAGAGCGTCCGGAGTGTGAAATAAACCTAAGAGAAATTGCCACACACAAGACAAATGATCAAACCAAAATGATAGATGAATGGAAAAAAACGTCTTAGGGTGACCCAACGATGTTTGTTTGGGAAGGAATTTTGCACGGCCTTAGATTGCATTCTTGCTCGTAACCGCCCCGGCTGCATCGCTGACGTCGGCGTTGCGCGAGTACAGATCCGGTCCCACTAGACATCTGACGGTGAATCAATGTTAAACTTTGTCTTGTTGAGTCAACGTTAATTAAACGATCTTTCATTAAAAAAACGTTAATTCCACGTTATTTCGTTGAATCAATGTTATTTAAGCCTTGTTTTATTTAATCTACATTAATTAAACATAATTTCATCATCATTCGTTGTAGTGCTCCTTGCCACCTAGTCGGGCTGCCGTGGATGCTGTTACAAGATCATAACGCGTGGATGATCAAAGCTGTGCGCGGACGTGGTGTAGGGAATAAACTCCCACTGCGGTCGCGCGACAACAGATCACGCCTCGATGATCCATACAAAATAACTCTTGATTGTGGGAGTGCGCGGTTTCTATGCTAACGGTTGTTGCTCGCTGCCGTCACATAGCTTGCGCTAATCGGTGCATCGTCAGAGGCTTTATACGCTCGAGATGTTACTCTTCAGAGTGATCTTCCGTCGCGGATAGGTTCTCTTCTCTCACGGTGGCCGTTAATGTTCTTTAACCATTAGTGTTCCAAGTCCGCGTCTGACAAGAGTTCCTTCTGCCGGCCGAGTTATCTGAAAAGTCATCGCTCCCGTGCGAAGTCCTCCAAGAAAATCACCTAAACAGACACGAGTCACGAAATCAACGGCTCATTTCATCCCGAAAGGGCTTGGTGCTGGAAACAACGTCGACCAATGCATGTGCTCCACCAGCGCCTATTAGTAGAAATTCTTAAATTTTTTATTAAAGTTTATTGTCCTCGTCACGGTCTTGCTCTAGACGATGACCAGAAATGAGGCGAACGTGCTTCAAATGTTGTTCTCACACTAACTCATTCTGCATACGTGAATGATAGTGCGAATGGAGCTGGACCTTTTTAATCGGTACGTATATGGTCATTCGGCCGTCAACAGAGCACATCGAATGATAAATTATTTGAGGAAACCACAATGCTCTTACTTCTTATTTGTAAAGTTATGCTCTAAATTCATACTTCAAGCACACAAATATCAACAGATTAGGAAGAGCATTTGACTCCGCTGCAGTAAGAACCTGAAGAAACGTAAGAAATCAGAAAAATATTTTATTTAGTTTCGATCGCTACCATTTTACGACTAGAAGTGAACACATCTCGACTCCGACCATAGTTTGTATTCAATATCATTTAATCAAAAATTTCGTTGAGTATTCAAATTACTTTATTCATTTTGAGGAAATCTTTTCATATATAGCTGTCTCATGCAGTTCCGGAGATATTCACAATTGCACATCGTGCACGATTATTGGTATCAGAAGGTTAGTATAGAGAATTTTTATGAATTTAAACAGAAGGGTACGTCCTAATTAATGAATACATGAAGGTTATCCAGTTGAATAGCAACTGTATTCACTTTCATTATTTAGCCGATTTTTATTCGAATTTTAATATATACTGGTCTGTACCTTACGGAAAACCAGAGCAGCAGCATTGTCATGCTCTTGGTATGTCTCAGCAAAGTGAATCCGTTAATCATATGCAATTTCCTTATGCGACTTCAGCCTAGTGATTTACTCTGCAGATGCAGCATTATTCAGTATATTGACATAGTCACCTGCTTATAAGACTAGGCAGTCTTGCGTGACGTGAGGCAGTCTCAGGTGAAAGAGCTTCGATAGTTCCTCAATTGGCTATGAACCGAGCGAAACCAGCAGAAGTGATCGAAACCGATCCTCTGATCAGCAGCACGGAAACCTGAAATTGCAGCCAAAATTTCAGGGCAGAGTTTCTGGGTTTGTATGACTGAAAGGCGAAGATAAGTCTGTAGGATTTATTGCTGTGTCTGGTCAAGTTTATCCACTTTGCGATCGCACTCTTTATTTCAGGAATGCTCCGGTTTAGCGAGGGGCTTGCGCATGGAAATCATTTGAAGATCGACATGCTTCTATAGCTTCATTTTTATATAACACTTTTAAATTTTACATTTTTAGCGCATTTTCTCATTTACGGAAAAAAGGCGCTATTATGCTCGTCATGTCTGTCCGTACGTCTGTCTGTCCGTCATTTCACGTTTTCGTTGACGAGAAAATACGCTCTCTGTCACTCACTGCAGTGAGTAGTTATATTTTTTACACAACGCTCGTAAATTCGATTCACACTGAGCTTAAACCTCAGCAATGAGCTTTTCATATTTAGGCTGATGTTGACATTCAAACAAAAATAGCTTCGGCAAATACTTCCCATTATGCTTCCATGATCAACATATATGAACCAAACTCACGTGGCCAGCTAAATTCAGTTCATTTGTGCAAACAGTTGAAATAAGCGTTACGGGTGTATTTGAATATCATGACTCATGCCTACAAACCCGTGAGCGACAAAAACAAAAGTAATTCCACCAAATTCTTGAACTCAAGCAACTCCAACAAATTCTTGAGCAACAAGAACACGAGTAACTACTAATTTACAAGTGCTAATGGTCCCGCCCGAGTTTGCATGCTGCTGCCTGTGACAGCGACAGTTTGCGGAGGGGAAATGAGAGCGAATGAAATAGAAGGGAAAAAAATCAGGTGCAGACATGCTGCTCCGCTAAAACTAATGGCGGGAATATGCTAAATGTCTTGGGGGGATGCTAGGCTACGGCGGCGGTACACGCAGCCTCCATAATTTTTTTCTCATACTTTGGGAAAAAATTTAATAATGATCACAATTTTCTTAGCTACAAACTTTGGCTTAAGATTTGTTTCAGGTCGGCACCACAATGATAATGAAAATATTATTTCTTTCAATTATCTTGACTCCGTGTCTGGCATGCACGAAAACATTAGCAATTCTACGACACTGATATATTTACGCGCGGTTTACATTACATTACTCGAGCACGTAACCTACATATGCTACACGGATCAAATTCTTTTTCGACGTAATCGTGATTAATGTTGGTTCTTAGGGTTTTTCCTTTTATACATAATGTATTTGAGTGATTAAGGAATTGGAGATCGTGCTCTATTATTAATTAAAGTCGTGTTCTTGATGCTTAAAGACAGCCTGTAATCAGACTCTCAAGGCTATACAATCACCCTTCTTCCCCTTTAATGTGCGTTTTTTTTTTTAATGTACATCCGTGATTTTTCAGTTTCAGATATGTTCATGGCCCACGCCCGGAAGCAAAACTCCTTATTAATTAGTAAGTAGCAATTCTCGAGTGGGAGCGAAATTTTCCCAAGAATGACGTCATTTGGGTACGAAATATTCTTATAAAATACGAGAAGATTGCCAATCACACTGCCAATCTTCGTTGTACTGCTCCTTCATCGTAAACGCTTCACATTACAATGACCCTCAAACTGGAAAATAGGACACGATTTAAGACCAAATAAAGCCTCTCGAATGCAGGAAAAAGTTGACGCAAAGAATGGCAAAAGCTCTTCCATCCGAGGTTAATTACAACCATAAATCTGGCTGGTCCCGGAGGAGCTTGATAAGTGGCAAACTTGTGAGGGCTCATCCGATGGCGCGCTCGTCGACGGAAGGCACATCGCCGTCCAGATTGACTGAGACGCCTCTTGAAGCTCGACACTGACATACAAGCATATTTGTAATGAGAGCAAAAATAAGTTAACCTAGGGACAAGTTCTCCTTATCTGCGTTTGCTGTTGGCCGTCGAAAGAAGTACAAGTTCTCGTTATCTGCGTGCGTTGGTGGCCGTAGAAAGAAGGACAAGTTCTCTTTATCTGCGTGCGCTGTTGGCCGTCGAAAGAAGGACAAATTGAAGTTATCTGCGTGTGTTGTTGGCCGTCGAAAGAAGGACAAGTTTTAGTTATCTGCGTGCGTTGTTGGCCGTCGAAAGAAGGACAAGTTCTAGTTATCTGCGTGCGTTGTTGGCCGTCGAAAGAAGGACAAGTTTTAGTTATCTGCGTGCGTTGTTGGCCGTCGAAAGAAGGACAAGTTCTAGTTATCTGCGTGCACTGTTGGCCGTCGAAAGAAGGACAAGTTCTAGTTATCTGCGTGCGCTGTTGGCCGTCGAAAGAAGGACAAGTTTTAGTTATCTGCGTGCGTTGTTGGCCGGGAAAAGAAGGATAAGTTCTCCTTATCTGCGTGTGTTGATGGCCGTCGAAAGAAAGACAAGTTCTAGTTATCTGCGTGCGTTGTTGGCCGTCGAAAGAAGGACAAGTTTTAGTTATCTGCGTGATAGAAGGACAATTTCTAGTTATCTGCTTGCGTTGTTGGCCGTCGAAAGAATTTTGAAGCATGTGCAGGTCATTTACGTACACGAATGTGTGATTCGATCGAATGGATGTGTGTTTAAAATCTTCCAAAAATCGACATTAATGATAAGGTAGTAATATTTCATGTGAAACGGAACAAACATATAAATACGTAGTATTTAAGTTTTGAGATCTAGTCTGTGATTAATGAACCAGGAAAATTACAATATATGCAGTAAACCATTTTTTTTGTTATTGCGGCGATTTTAAATTTAATCTTTCGGTTGTTAGAATTTTAATGCTCGATTGTAAAAAAACATAAAATTGATTGCAAATGCCTATTACTTTTTTGGGCGAGCATTTAATGCCTAAATACTACATTCGGCAATCGAGGAATATCCCCCGCTTGTCTATGAAGTGTAACAAATCAGATCTGTTTTCCATTTCCAAGACCTATGATAACTCGAATGCAGAGAATTGTATTCTTGTTTATTATTCAGTTGCAAATCGATCGTTTTAAGCGGGAACTGAAGCAAAAGCTAGGAATAATCCAGAATGTGGCACTAGCTGAACGAGTGGCGCGAGCGGTGATTCGTGAAGCGTGAGCCGCGATTCCATGAAGCGGCAAGTCTCCTAACGCTGTGATTCGCCTCCGAGTTTAGCATGTTTGCTCAGGCGATGCCCTGACACGAAGATTCATCTCGCGGAAACATCGCACAGGGGAAACCAAAGCAAACATTCCACTCACCGCTGAGACCCTGCGCGCGTTTCCAGTGCTGCTTATGAGCCAACAAATTTGTGGTGGTGGCTGATGTCAACAGCAGCCAGCCGTTGGTGTTGATGTCGGAGAGTTAGTGTTGACGGCTGACTTGACGTGTTGCTGGATGGTGGATTGAGTCAACAGCTGCCAGCCGTTGGTGTTGATGTCGGAGAGTTAGTGTTGACGGCTGACTTGACGTGTTGCTCGATGGTGAATTGTGTCAACAGCTGCCAGCCGTTGGTGTTGATGTCGGAGAGTTGGAGTTGACGGCTGACTTGACGTGTTGCTGGATGGTGAATTGTGTCAATAGCTTTGCTGGTGTAGGAGAGATTGTGTTGAAGGCAGACGCAAAGCGTTGCTTGATAGTGAATTGTGTCAGTTAATTTGTGAGTCATCATGTGCTGCTCGCAGTGGACTAAGTCTACAGCGCTTCGATAGTGTATAGTGTTGACAATTGGATGCAGTTGTTGCCAGCAAATTCATGAAACTTGAAGATTACAACAATTTTTGGTGTGTGACTGACCACAATTAGGGCCTTAATTAAGGTAATTAAAAAATTGGAATGTGTTTGGCTCGTGAAAATTTGAATATCCTGTCTTCATGAATAAGCTGTAAAAAATGACCAACGATGGGTAAATTAAGGATAATTATCAAATATATCAAACAAGAAGCTCCATTTCAGATCGTTTTATATCAACTTATATTAAAAAAAGCATAATGCATTCAACTTGTTTGATCAATTCAGTTATGACTACTCATCTTAATTAAAAGACTCATTCGTCCAATGAAAGATCCACTTTATCCATTTTAATATTCATCCACAGGAATATGATTGAAATTCGAAACTTTCTGGATGTGAAGTTCAACTTTTAAATGAATCTTGTTCTTACGCCAGTTTAAATGCAAATAATCAAGGACAAAGATGAACAAAACAGACCTCGGTAGCGCATGACCTCGGTGAAACTATTAGAGCTCTAGCGACTGGGGCCAAAAACGAGTATCAAGATCAAAGGACATCACTCGCACTATAGTGAGCAGTGAATACGTCAAACTCGTGAAGAAGTGCCTGAATTAATGAGTCCGACTTTGCTCGATTTTTTGAATGCCACATGAGTGGATGGATGTAATCGGCCGTCGGCGGTCGAGAGTTAGCGGTCCTAACTTTGAGGCAATGTTTTTAGCTGCCTTGAGTGCAGCGTGATTTTTTAAAGACAATAACTGCACTCGCGTCTCAGTGCTTGCTCACGTGTCAACACGCGCAATATATGGCCCTCAAAATACACTGGTAATTACTAATAGCGCAGACCATTAAACGTCACAACCGAGGTAAGGGGAAAAGGTGTAAGTACAGCAATAAAGCTTCGGTGACTGCTGATAACCTGATCGATTTAGTGGGAGGTGATTGGATGTGGTGGTTCAGTGAAATCACTTCTAGCTAATTTTCTCAGAATCGCATAAATTAACTTGAACGATTTAATTACGGTCGCGAACGATCCTAATTCACAAACGAACCTATATAATTCAGCAAATGTCCATATTGGTAGGTAGGTAGCTAAGTTTGTTGAAAGTTGTCTCCTGTGATTTATCGGCTTCAGAAATGTAAAAGCAGTCGTCTGGTTTTCTAATGTAAAGTCATCAGTCACTTTCAGTGAATACAAAAGTTAATTTTTCCACCTTCCGCTTATCAAGTTAAATTAGATTCCTATTTACTAATTTTTAATTTCACCAGTTTCAGCAGTGTTTATCGGAAACATTTTTTAGCTCAGAAAGCTTCGAAATGAACCTTGATTGAAGTATTAATGTTTATAGCAAAAGAATATTGATACATCATATATTTACGGAACTTCCTGTCTTCTCACATTTGTGCGCTCATTTGTATGGAAAAATTATACAACCCCCAATAATATTATCACAGTGAAAAATCGCTCGTAAATTTATTCATATTTAAATTCCTTCACGTGTGTATGATATTTTATGCCACGTTCACCCATAAATTTGCTTAGGACCAATCTTACAGAACTAATGGTAATATAAATACTTATATTATTAGTTAGCTCATATCGCAAGTTCACAAGGAATTTAAAAGCAAAGAAAACGCCAAGAAAATTCACCATATCGATATTGAAAACGTTTCGGAGTCCAGCTCCATCATCATTTCGACTATACTAAAAATGAATAAAAAAACTGTAATATTCTCAAGCTGTTATAAGCAGAGGCGTGCCACAGAAAGCTTCCACGAATGCAGATCGGAGGCCTCGGTGGGAAGCATTGTGGCCGCCAAAGAGAATATTGTAACAGGCGATCAATATTTGCTGTGTCGTCTTCAAACATATCAGAGGAGCCTAAGTCAACACATTTGAAGGATATCAAGGCTGTCTATGCAGAGGACTTCCCTCACTAAATGGAAGGCACACAAATGAGATGAGCTTCCCTAGTCTTGGCAGGAGCCTTGGTTTGCCAAGTCAAGTTTGCACCTGTTTCAGTCACTTAAGGTTGCATAAACTACTTGTCTCGGCAATTGTCGGGGGTCCTTTACCAAGGAAGCCTCGCCAGGATGCGATAATTCATTATTTTTGTACATATTTTACTGGGAATGATAACAGTTATTCTAATTTATAACTCAATTTTTAATTGTACGTGTCAGAGAATTTTCTAAAATATTGATTTGTTCCTAAATGCTTTTGCAGTGACAGATATAACCGCACCCCGTGAACCATACTGTGAACCATACTAAATGCGACCCCATGAACCATACTGTGAACCATACTAAATGCGACCCCATGAACCATACTGTGAACCATAGTAAATGCGACCCCATGAACCATACTGTGAACCATAGTATATGCGACCCCATACACCATACTGTGAACCATACTAAATGCGACCCCATGAACCACTCTGAACCATACTAATTGCAACCATACTGTGAACCATACTAAATGCGACCCCCATGAACCATACTGTCAACCATAGTAAATGCGACCTCTAAAGATTCTGTGAATCATAGTAAATGCGACCCCATGAACCATACTGTGAACCATAGTAAATGCGACCCCATACACCATACTGTGAACCATACTAAATGCGACCCCTTAAACCACTCTGAACCATACTAATTGCAACCATACTGTGAACCATACTAAATGCGACCCCATGAACCATACTGTGAACCATAATAAATGTGGCCCCATGAACCACACTATGGGTGCCGATGGCTCATGATAGTTGGGGCCATTGATGATAAGGCCCATAAGGGCCTTCGCAGGCCATGCATTATTCACAGCTAATTTGCATGAAGTGTTTTCACTTCATTGATAAAACGGCGGTAGTTTAAGATCATCCCTTTATGAAGCGCAAGTAAAATCCTCAGCAATGCACGAGCCATTTTAATTGCCCCAGCTAATTGTCTTGAACGGTTGGAACAAATTCGCTTAAGAATGGAAATTAGTTCGTTCTTAACTTATCGTCAGATCGATGGCGACTGAAACAATCGGTATTCCAGCACGTGTTTCTGTTTGAGAATTCCAGGTCGTAATTATAATTATCTCAATGAATGGATTGCTATGCGAATTAATTTTCGCTAAGATATCACCTATCAAGAATTACTTTGATCACGTCAGTGAGCTCTAGATTTTGAAATTTGTGAGGCTTTGTGCGAAATACGAGCCAGCTAATTATGATTAAAGAAGCACGAAATAATTTCAACCCAACGGAATTTTTAGCTGATTCTATTGTGAGGTTTAGAGTTATACTCAGCTTGTATTCAAACCGTGGGCCTCGATATCATTCATTCTGAAACCTTTCTAATTTGTAAAGTTTCCTCAGAATAAACGAATACAATGCAGTTGTTATCTTATTATTGACTGATCAACTTCAGGAAGGCGTTTACAACTTTATTAATTTAAACATTCTTTCGCTAGTCAACTAATTAACAGACTTACTAAGTCAATTTCAGATCTCAAGTTTTAATATTAAAATATATTGTTACTTCGCTTATATTTAAGATTCCACATTGTATACAATGGGTTGATCTTCAACTCTCGCTAATATTGAATACTTCTGTTACATAAAATGCGTTAATCAAGCTGCAGAAATTGAATGCAGTCTCGTCTGCATCTAGCACAAAAAAAAAAACATTGTCTGCAGGGAATGTCCACACAAAAATTTCTCAAATGGTAGACAAACAGCGGGCGAACTGCATTGGCTCTCAGACCTCCAATGCAGTTGATTTTTGGATGACCATATTTGAGTGGGAAGACATTTTTATGGCTTTATTGCCCTCAAT